TTTGGGGTCAAGTACCAAAAACGGAAATACGTCATAGACCCACGTAGAAGGCCTAAATGTATTAAAGTCCTAAATAGACGTCTTGTTCCCAGAACCCATCGTTTCTTTATATCACCACCAGCCATCCGGAGATGATCTTACAGTCATTAAACCCTCTTGCCAGACAAGAGTCTTGTCTTCCCGTGACGAGACACTCGCCTCTAGAGACGCTATGCTCGTCTCACGAGACGAAACTCTGGTCTTGTTTTTTTTGAGCGGTACTGTAAATAAACCCGTAAGCCATATGAGTTTTTAAACACCACAAAGGTGATTTTTTTTGTGAGTGATTGTGTTAAGAGTCTTTTGTAGTACATACGGTATACTGATCTGTTATTTTCTTTTAGGCTTTTAAGGAGGCTGAGACACCAGAAACGGAAGGTAAGTGAGTTAGCATTGACGCTTTTCATCGGCACGTTGGTTATACTTAGGAAGCTAGACTGTACGTAGTAACCTACAGTGCATCCAATCGCTATAGATCAACGTACGCATTGCAGTCCGCCTTAGGAGTTCAACTTATTTGAGGCAGCTTGAACAAAACGATGTTGCAATCATATGGTGTAAAACCAGGAGGCACCCTATCTCCATTCGTTTTGCTAGCTTACACTGATAATTTTCCGGCAGTTGAATTCCAAAGTATTGTGTTGACCTCCTCCATAGCACCTGAAATTAGGAAGTTTCACCTCGTAGTTGCGCAACGAAGGAAAGGAAATGCAAAAAAAGCATGACATACGAGCAAAGTTTTTTTTGTTTTGCTAACATATTACTTTTTTTACTTTCTCATTTGTCTGAAACACGGTCTTTCATCTCTTTATTGGAGCATTTTGTTAAGCAAAAATAGAACATGGTTTATTTCATTGATTCCGGAAATATGTTTAAAAAATAGATTCCGTGTTGCCGCACGTCTGCTCAGTAATAGATCACAGATGACGTTAAAATGTGGTAAAAACAAAGAAGTGGCACGCGAGCCGCAGGCGAGTGTGTCACTGATGTGACACATGAGACATGATGATGTCTCTTAGCCGTGACACATGATGAAAACTATTGTGCAAATTTCTTCCAGTTTAGGCATTTTCAAGTCGTCAAAAACCGATTTTTTTGGTTTGTCCATTTTTTTACTTGTAAACAGCTTTTGCTTAACGTTTTGCGAGGCCTTACATGCCTAATCCGAAATAATCTCTGATGGTGAACAAGTGTCCCGTGACGTCATCGATATGTCTGTACTCTAATAGATCATTATGGGTAACGACCAATCACAGCGCGCGTAATTTGCACCGTATAGTATAAAAGATTCTAGGAAACTGTCACCAACCCCTCCCTTAACCCAACATTTTGCCCTAAGTAAGAAGTAATTGTTAACATTGGGTTAGGAGAGGAGGGATTCGAAAGTTTCCCAGTATGACTATGTACCGCAATAAACAATGAAAGGCTTCGCATACCCGAGAGTCAGGCAGGAAAGGCAGTTACAAAGTCCAACTGGTTGTCCTCTTGTCTCTAAACAGGAGAGTATTTTTTTGTTGATGACGACCTCAAAACCTACTCACAGCTGAAGATGGATTCCACAGGAAAGGCAATACTTATCATGCTAAGACACTGTGGTCGCCTTAGAGAAGTACGAAGTAAAAAATTGCTGAGATATGTGCTGAAATTGTAGCGCCCATCCTCGTTTTTTCTCGTTCCTCTTGCATTGTAAATATCCTTGGATGTGGAACTCGTATCGAATAAAATCGCTTTTTGATTGAAGACTACGTAGGATATAATTAACTTGAGTTAGTAACTTTGTATTACATACACGTAGCTTCTGGATAGTTCGAAACCTAAATTATCGAGATCGATTGGTGAGAAATTGATATTTGACTACTCGGTACGAGGAGCGCTTGTGCCTATGTGATAGTTTCGGAGTAGTTTTGAAAATAATAATTTTTTTATTATGCTTTTGGTTTGAGATTCCTCTCATTCTACGTCGGTCACTCTTTTTTTTCCTATAAGAGAACGTCATGTAAATACTTTAGATATTCAGAGCTATATCTTTTTGGGCAAAAGTCTCTTATCTCGGTAGATTCTGTCTAGATATTCACCGTTCTATGTTCTTTTGATTGTATCGCCCCACGAAAGGTAATCCGGATTCCGGAATCTGGAATCCTGGGCCTTGGAGTCCAGAATCCCTCTAACGATTGGAATTCGGAATTCGGAATCCATATTCCACTGACAGGGGGTCTGGAATCCAGTACCTGGAATCTGAAATACACAGCGTTTCCACCGAGTATTTTTTGACCATATATTAAGGGTGCTTTTAGTGGGGCGTACGTTGTAACCTAGGACCTCTGGTAGTATTTTGTTAGTGTATCGGTTATGTAATAAGGATAATTCTGCATGACGTTTCTTAATACACTGTTCTCATTAAATTAATGTCTCCTTTCAGAGGGTTTAATATTTCTGTCTTGTGGTAGGAAGAGGACCTTAGGATTGCAACTTCAACACTTATATGTACTGGCTATGCACGCGGCGCCTTATAAGCGAAAGGGAAATTACCATTTGCAACCATTTCAAGAATATACTCAAAAAAATGCTAAGAAAAGCCCGCCGTATTTGTCCCATAAAACATGGTGAGACGTCTTCATGTCGACTGAGCGACAGTTTTCGAATGTTACAATGGGATTGTTACAACCCCCAGCTTCCGGTACTAATCTTAGATTTCATTTCATCTAGTACGACAGAGAGTAAGCGATAAGAACAAGAGAAAGGCGCTTACAAAACTCAATAGTGTACGATGTAGCCTACCTGCGTTGTGGGCGCCGACTTTATTTATGGCGAAGGGAGGAAATTCGGGGACTTGTGGGCGTGAGGGAACAAACGAAGAGCAAGCCTCCTCCCCCCTTCGTGCGTTCCCCTCGAAAGGCTCAGTAGTATAGTAGGGATCGGTTACTCCGTTTTTTTTGGGGGGGGAGGGGGTGCTAAAATCTCTCAATAAGGAGGCCAGGAATCCTCATATCTTTTCATCATTTTCTCATTTAAAAAGGGAGGCTCATTAAGATGAATCCGTGTGCTATTTGTAACTCTTTGAAAAGTATCAATTTGTTTTTTATTTTCGTTCATTTACACTGTGCAGCTTTTACTTTAAAAGAATTCTATTATAATTTTATTGTAAGCCTTTAAAAGCCTCACATAGTAAATTCAATATTTAATAGCCTACCCCCGTGACAAAAGATGTTGTCTCAAAAGAGACCACATCGATATTGTAAAATTACAAAACTGACCTATTTGTAAAAAAGGAATTTGAAGATAACATTATTTCGTTTGCAAATAATATGAAGATAAACCTATCTAAACATAACTTGGCTAGCCTTAGAATGTCAAAAAGCTATCTACCCCGGGATGTTTTTATCAAAAAGTCGATCAAAAAGCCTTTACAGATAGTTTCCTACAAAACATTCGAAACTGTAAGAAAACACTGTCCTTCTCGTTGTTTACTGAATTGTCTGATTTTTATTTATAAGTCTTATCAATTTTGTTGCCATTTACTTGCTACCGTTTTGGTATGTCGTCTAGTAAAGTCTTATTCCTTTGTATTCCCTTGTTCCGTTTGTTTGTTATTTATTCAGCTTCGTTATATTTCAAAGCTAAAAAAAATTGTCCGTAAATTTTTGCTAGATATTTGTCCCTTGAAGTTGAGAGTATAATTGAAAGGCCTTAGTTTTCTCTAAATCTGGCGCATTTCTCATGAGATATCTGGTTTTTTTTGCAACTCAGTTTGTTTGTGACATTCGTGACAAAGCTAATCATGTTACAATGTAGAATTTGTCTTCTTGTTCAGCTACACTTTGTTCGTAAATTAAATGTTGCTAGCTTGTATCAATTAGTTTAGTGCCATTACTTTGTTAACATCTAACATTTTTCATTGTTAATGCAGCGTAATGTTCTTTATTAAAATAATGAATACTGGTTATAGTAATGAGTATGTTAGTAATTGTTTCACTTTGTATTTATAGTTTCTATTAATATTATTATTATTATTCACCAAGATTTAGTTTTCTTCATTTCCCTATAAAATTGTTCACGTTATTACAAAACAGCTTTCTACCAACTTTCAGGTGTCATTTGCCCTAAATAGGCCGTTTTCTCATATGCCTTTATGGCCATGGGTGGTGAAGTGGTGTTGATTTTCAAATCCGTAATGTTTATTGTTATTGTGTCATTGTTAACTCTATGAACTCTATTAAGTGCTTTAGCATGTTAGTCGTTTACAACTTCTGGTTATTTCGTAATATGATCCCCAACAGGGAGTAGCATTGTGAAGTTTAAGAGGCCGTTCTTGTGAAGGAGCAGTTAATATATATTTTTAAACAAAATGTTTGTTGTTAGATAGATAGATCGATCTTATTGCATGATTGACTTGTCTCACTTCATTGTTTTCGTTAGTAAACTCTGGTGGTAATCTTTGTCTCTCCATTAGTTATTAGCGGCACTGTTCCACTTTGGTTGTATGTTTTTTCAATTGAATGTTAGTGGTCAGTTTCTATTTTATTTTTCTATGGTGACTTTGAGCCCTAGCGTGTTTTTCTGGCAGTGTTATATTTATTTAAGGTATTGTTATTGTTAAAGCAAATTGACTCTGTAAGGAGAACTGTTAAATCGAAACTACAACCAGTGCCGGAATGTAAAGAAAATTCTAACGTACGACAAATCACTGTAGTCGTAATATTATTTCCAAGTCATACAAGTATTTGGAGAAAATTTGAAAAAAAAATCTAACTAACACATAAAGTTACTCTGTTTGTGGTACTATACTGCAATTTCTGTAATCTAGGATCCATAAACATTTCCTCTGTTTGTCGCAAAGGAACGGTTACTTAATAATTTGTAATTAATATTTTTGTCACCGTTCAACGTGTATGACTTTTTGTTTTACGTTTGTTGCCTAAGGTGTTTGCTACCGACCCATCACTTTGTAAACCTGTGTTTTTGTTGTTTCTCGTTGTTCGTTACTTTCAATGTATTCGTTTCTTCAGTTCTTGTTAATCAAAGTTTCGTCAAAGCGCCTTTTTTTTCCCGGCGGCATCTTCTGTCAAAGCATAACATTTGGAGCTTCTGGTCTTTTCTTAAGAACAGACTCAGATATATCAGATCTACCAACATTCCGCTTGGAATTTATTATTTAAAAAATAGTGTAATAATTTATCGTGGTCGTCTGTGTATTTGGTTGCTGTACAGGTTAATAAATGTTGCAAAATAGCTATATAAAAGGGCAAGTTGGTCATCATTATATTAGTTTCGGATTGTTTTTTCCCGCTTCCTGTTTCTTAACACAGGTTTTTGTCGTTGTTGTCTGATTTTTTTAATGTAATGTATGTGTAAGTTATCGGTTACTCATTAAATTATACTTTTTAAATTCGTAGTTCTTTCTAGTAATCCTTTTTCTTTGGCGTGTTTATGGTTAGTTTACATTGATGAGATTTGTTAGTCGACAGTTACATTGTTAAAGGGCTTTGTAACAGTACATTGGTGTGTGCTTTCTACTGGTCGTTTAAAAGCAAGTGTTCATGGTTACTTTAACGGTTTGTTTATTTGGTGAGAAGTGTCGATATAAAATGTTCGTCTTCAATGAACAAGTCTAAGTTTCTTCGATGATCAAAATGTACCTCCCGAGAGTGGGCCCCAAATCACCTTAAGCCTATGATGTACCTCAGTTTGGACAAAGCCTATTCCAGGCGTTCGGATAATGTAGAGTGAAGCGTTATGGAAAGCGGAAGTCGGGAAATAAAGAGAAAAATGGAAGAGGGGGCAGTGGGCGGGGGAGGGGGAGCGCTTTAGGTTTAGACTGTTGCTGGTCTTTAGTTGCTCTCTGTTTTCTTTTTCTGCTCCATTCTCTCAGCTCCCTCACATCTTCCCTGTTATCTGAACGCCTGGAATTCTTCAAGTGCGTAGGTGCTTAACGGATGTTGTTGCTAGCTACACTAGTGTATGAGCTTTAGGGTCCTTTGGAGTCTTAGGAGTACTGGGAGTACCCTGAAAACAATTATAATAGGTATTGTTAGAAGGATTGTGAAAAGTGACTTGCGTATGCCAGGGAAGTGTAATTGGTTTCACAGGGCTGGAATTAAAAAAAAATAATAATAATTCCTTTGCCACAAAAGGCCACTTCCGAGTTCCAAAACCCCTAAATTTCAAAATGAAGCCAAGTGCACAACCTTTCTTGTGAAAATGAGTTTTATTTTTTTCAATACCTTCGATGAATAATCAATTCAGCATGACTGTAGTAAATTATTAGTGGGTAACAAGAGAGAATAAGGGGACAGATAGGAAAACACCCAGTTTAGCCCTTGGGATATGGGCTATTTCACCAATGTTATTTTTATACCAATTAAACGCTTGAATTAATTAAAGTTGGTTTCCGGAGAGGTTCGCAAACTGTTATTCACTGTTGTCAAGAGAGAATTCAACAGTCACCATTGCAAAATTCTGCATTTTTTGCCTTGCGGCAGTCGCGCGTGGACTTGATGTTTTTTTTTTTTAACAATCGATTACAATTTTCCGACGTTCCAAGAATTAAACTTCCGATAAACTACAACATCTAAAAAAACTTTAATGAAATTCACAAATCCCGCCTAACTTCCTAAGATTCCCTCTCAAATTCTTTCTTGTGGGCAACTATCTTGAAGGTGAGAAAAAATTAGAAGCCAAAGAAGCGAACCTCTCATTGAAATCCTTTTTTCTTGACGTCACGCGACTCAACTCAGCCTCAAATCCGCGTTTTAGTTGCTTACGCACAAAAAACTGATATCTCAGAGGACTAAAGGATATATGATGGTTTTTGTTTTCATGTGAACCTACCTTAAGAGCCTCCCTGCGCTGGAACTCCATCTTGGCAATTTCATTCTCTACCCATTCTGGTATGTCAGGAATGGCATAGGCCACAGCGAATTTGATACCAAGAACAAGGTGCTAAAAAACAAGAAATATTTAAAAAGAAAAACTTGAACGTACGAAGGTTACATGGAAGCATTTCGTGCGTCTAGACTTGATCATGTAACTAACGGGAAAAACTACATTCATTGTAGTTTACTCTCTCCAAAAGGCCAATATTAGTAGAACGGACACCTGCATATTTTCGTAAATGCTCGAGTTGGCGCTCACGAATCTTTTTTTTTTTTGAGTGGAGAAAGGGCTTGCTTGTTTAAAATTTGTAGCCGAAAGGAGGTGCTAATTTGAAAGGGGGCTGAGGGAAGGGATATTTCTAGAGTTTACGGTAGTTTTTTCCCTGTCGTTCTTCAGCTCAGCATTTTTTTTGACTTACTGCAACGCGGATTTCTCTCCTATACTGAAAGGTTCCTTGGTGAAGGTCAAACATTCCAAACGATGTCTGTTGTAGATAGGGTTCACTAGTGTATGTAAAAATTCCTAATTTGCTCTGGTGAAAGATTCTTTTTTCGCCTACTTGTTTTTTGACCTGATACCCTATTGAATGACTTGAATATCCGAATTGTATGACAGGCTCATCAAGTTGGCTTTGTTGAGAGTACAGATGTCTACTGAACTAATCATTTGTTATCGTTGTCAGCTTCTTTTTTGTTTATTGTTTTAAAACAAAAGAAGCAACTTGCTTATTCTTTATTACCATTGCTCGAAAATTGGTCTTCTATTGAATCAAGGAAGTAGGTAAAACTGAACACCTTTTAATAAGGTTAACTAACCTCTAAGACGACTATGAGGATGATTCTATCAGTGACTGTCATGTTTGGGAACATCCGCTGGACCGAGCCACCCATGCCCAGCAAAGCCAGGTTCACCATCACAGCAATGACACCCATGACCTCCATGGCATCCTTACAAAGAAAAAGACTGGACTGTAGTTGTTCTACAGAGGACGTTAGCTAAGGTAAGCTTTTTTCGGCGTAAATTTTGACATACTTAATAGAGTGGAATGGTTATGAAACCCGTCAGAATGGTCTGATATATGTTTTTGTAAACCTGGCGGTGCAGAACGTTCAATAGTATTCCTAACACTTTGATCTTGCGGACCAATGAACCGTTGTTTTTATCTTTGATGTTTGCCGCCTTTCATCAGTTTGTTTCACAATCAGTCTCCTCTACTTACTATGATTCTGAGTATAGCTTTTAAAATTATTGTACCTGTGATTGATTTAGAATAGGCAGTATTAGCAAACGACAATGCAACTTCAAATGCGAACGTTAAAGCGAACGTGCTGAACGCGACGTTGCTATCTGCAATTTTAGCTTCTAAAATGAATAGTATTGCGAAACAAATAATGAGGCAGTCAGGTCAATTTTGAAGTCTATGCATTACACGGGATTGTCAGGAAATCTCACCATGACATTTTTTTTTGGCTTGTTCCACTTACCTGCCAGGTGCCGATGTTTTCTACCCTCTCTCCAAATGGCCTCCTTAGGTTGGTGCATAATTTAAAGGCGTCGCTTCTAATCTCGATGATGTTGTTCAGCAAGGCACACAAAGCAGCAAGCGGGAAGGCGGAGGAGAACAGGACCACATAACCGAACTGTATGAACATCTCCAGGTAATCCTCAAATGTGTCCTGTAGATAGCAGGTTATAAAAATTATAGCAACGATTTACTTATTTTTTAAGTAAATAGTAAGAGAGAGGAGTTAAAAAAAGATGCAGTGGTTCGGTTAAACCCGCAGTCTGAAATGCGTCTAAAAGCGGATGTGTGGCAAAGGCGGGGGGGGCGCACCTCCATATATGGGCTAAATGAGATTAGTAAAATCCAGCTAGTGGTCTATTATCAATGCTGCGTTCTGATTGGTTGAGCTACTACTAGGCTATATGTCATAGCCCACTAGTGGCGAAAAGTGCGGGCTTTTTGGCGGCAAAAAAGGATTAAAGTCTAGCTTTAACTACCTAAAAGTTTTTTATTCTCGAAATTTTTGACCAGCTAGCTGGATTTTACTAAAACAATTATTCGTCTCGCCCTCGTGGCCTCTGAGTCAATAGCCCATTCGGTCTCGAGGAGTAATTGTTAATAAGTGCTACTGTGAAGGGCAGGGTACGAAGTTAGCCATTTACTGTAGGATGGGTATAGAGATCAGAGGTTTTTGGTCTAGAATAGAGTATCATTTATTGGAAACTCATCAGCAGTATGAAGAATTAGAATTTCTGCTTCATAGTTTGTCTGGGATAGACAGTAGTGGTGCCTAGTCTCGTAAGGAAGGAAAATAGCAGATGCGCATGGTTTGGTAAAGGCCAAGGGTTCCAGAGTCCGAAAACTCTCCGGGTTGTTAGCCTAAAGGAGTGGATCAAATACCAAACAGTTTTCATTCGATATTCCCATGATGGTGGAAGGCAGAGATAGCCTCTTGACAGCTTAGCGAAACAAAGGAAGTGCTATATATCTAAAATGTGAATTCACCATTTTCACATAGACCATAACGCACCTTTTTTAGCCCCCAAATTTTTGCATAACCATTGTCTTGGATTTCTCTTTGGATGACTGTAATACCCAAGAGAAATTGGAAACGATGGTTATGCAAAATTCTGGGGAGTAAACAAGGTACGTTATGGTCTATGTGAAAGTAGCGAAAAAGGAAAGCAAGTAATTACGTAAGGTAATTAAACCGACCTGAATACTGAAAATTAGGGGTGGGGAGGGGGGTAATGGAGACTTGAAGATATTCATAGTTACCGGGTCCGCCTGGGTTAGAATCTCCGTCCTAGCCTTTTGTTTTTCGCGTTTTGTTTTCGTACATAACTGATTAAACTTCCCTCTCAACAATTATTTCTCACCTCATACTCAGCCATGGTGCTCTCGATTTCAGCCTGGTTCATTAGTGGAGTTTCCAGCTCCTTGGGTTTATCTGTCTTCTCATTTCCGCCTGAGCCTGTCTTGCTCTTCCCTTCCTTCTCATCTAATTCCTTCTTTGCTTTGGCCTCCTGCTTCTTCAGTTTCCACTCCTTCACTTTTTGCTTGACGAATGGAACTAATGCTTCCTTGACATTACCGACAACTTGTTTCGTAATCAGTAGTGCAGCCAGTTGCTATTAGAAAGAAATTATTCTACGATTGCTTCCCTTTGAAACAAACAAGCTTGGAGGAAATCAAATTGTAGAAACTGAAGGCTCTCGTCAGGAGTAGATCTACCCTATTATTATTAGGCTAAAAGAGGCTCTCAACAAGGCCGAGGAAGAAATTTTGAGCGCAGGCCGCACTCTTATCTCAGGGTATGGGTAAGCTGGAGCCTCCCACTTACTTAAGTTCTGGCCCGAGTTGTTCAAAACATGGATAGCGCTATCCACAGGATAAATCACTATCCAGCGGATAAGTATTTGGGAAACCAATTGCGCTATCCAGGGGATGGTGATTCATCCGTTGTATAGCGTTATCAACCTTTTGAGCAACGGGGGCCTGGACTCGCCACTGCTTGTATTCTTGGCTGCGCATACAAACTCTATATGCTAAAATTCTCAGTGATGATGATGAGTTCGTATAAACGAAATATGAAAGCAATCAGGCAGCGCGTTTCTATTATAGATCTGTCCTTCTAAGTTTACGTCTTCCTCAAGATCCTGAGAATGACATTAAGAGGTAACGCAATCACTACGGTTGTTAAAGATGTGAACTCCACATTGTATGATCATTCACCGCGACGAACTCACCGTTTTTAGTCTGTCCATGTCCCGGATAAAGAAGGCGATGTAAAAGAGCGCCAAAAAGGCATTGAAGAATTGGAACTGCAAAAAAATATTTGATGTAGATTGATTAACAGCCAATTAAACGGGTTGTGGCTATAAGCTCATCGGTAGATTTATAATTATTTCTAAGTGATTAATTCATTGAATTGCAATAGTATTCATTTGTCTGGTGAGATACTAGCGGAAGGACAAGCCTTACCGAGACGAGCTTGATAATCAGATGATTTTCATAAGTTTCTTGTAGACGGTAGTTTTCTGTAAACAGAACGAAAAAATCGCAAATATAATTAAGTAAATCTTCAGACTAATTGTCAAAAGTTGCATAACCTCATTTACAGCTCAGCGATACCCGCCATTTTTATTGTATTTTTCTGTCGAGAGTTTTCCTTTGAAGTTTTTCAGTAACAGCAGATAAGAGGCAACAAATCCAGTGAACCAATTAAAACTCGAAGCAAATACATACATATAACATGTAGAAAGGGCGTGATTATTCCTTAGCTAGATTAGCAAAAGCTATTTGGCAGTATCTCATTAGATTAGATTAGATTAGATTACTAGATTAGACTAGATTAGACGTTAGACTAGTTTATAGATTAAATTAAGATAAATTAGATTAGATGCCTTCTAAATAAAAAGTGACTATATTTTTAAGACACATAATAAGCATATTATCGCACTTCACCACCGTGAATAACTTTTTTACGACGCAATGGTCTTGAGTTGTTTTGATGCTGTGTCTGAATGTCTGATCGGCAATTTTTTTTTTCGACACGCGTAGCACTAAAAATCGTGACAAAGCAAGATTAATCTTCGAAACTCAGATAAAAATCACAGAAATGCCCAACCTTTGTCGTTCAAATAATAAGCCACTTTCTTATAATTGTCGTCCAACAATCCAATGCACACGGCAAGGGCGACCTTTGGAGCAAACTTGAGTGGCTTGGGTGGGTTTTCCATACCATCCACCCAACGTTGAAACTCAAAACATAACAGCATGCTAAGACACACCACGCCAAGGGAGGCCAAAATGACAGGCAGCGACACACAGTAGCGAAAGATGTTTCTTTTCCATGATGGATAGTGTGCCTCGATTCGTCCAGTTATTTCACTCGGTTGATAATCACCCTATAATAATAATAATAATAATAGTAATGATAATAATAATAATAATAATAATAATAATAATAGTTATAATAATAATAATAATAATAATAATAATAATAATAATAATAATAATAATAATAATAATAGTTAACAGTTATTGAGGTTGTCAGAGGCGAGCAGATCAATTATTTGCCCAAGCCGAAAGCTGAGACAAATAATTTACGTGCGAGACACTGGCAAATCATCATATTTTGCGATAACCGAGTTCAATAATTGTTTTATCATTCGACCACCTTCAAACAAAAAATTACTTATAGAAGCCCTTCGCTTCGCTAGACGGAAAAAAGTGCGTTCTTGCTAGTGCTGACCAAAGCAAATGCGTACTCGTCTTATAATAAAAGTCGGTTTGTGTCAACCTGTTGTAAGCGCATGAGCAGACCATTATTTGTAGGCAGTTATTTGCAGGTCACGTGGTGGGCTTTCGGCCAATGAAAAGGAAGAAAAGTTGCATCCAATGATAATTATTGTTATTATTTATATTATTATTATTATTCAGGTAACTTTTCAGTCAGAGCACACATTAAACTTATCAAAACTTCACACTACCTTATGCATACAAAAGATAAACTTTACATTTTAAAGGAGACTTTTATCTTGGAATATACTGAAGGGAAGTACAACAGAAAGCACTAGTGAAAAGTCTGATTTCTCAAATTAAAAGAAATGCGTTGAGCTTTAATCTAGGATCGCATTATAAGGAGCACAAGTGTATACGTTGTGCGATGGGACAGTCGTTTTCGTTGTGAATCGTTTTAGGATATAGGGTGTTTCCCGTGCTGAACCCTTGTGCTTTCATTGGTAAACTTTTCCTCTCCATTTTAAATGCCATTTTTAAATTTCTGGCTGTCATACATTTTCTTTTTAACCGTTACACTGCTTTTGATGAAGTATAAAAGAACACGCTGTCACAATAAAGACAGTCTGCTGTAGTGCGGGAAATTCACAACTCATTCTTTTTTGGACCATCCTTTCATTTCGTCTATTTACTAGTGATTTGAAAATACCCTATTTAAGCCTTTTAAGCCTGAAGAGTGATCAGCATCTTAGTTCTCTTTGAAATATCTATGCTTCATAAAACATTTTGGTCACAAGAATTAAGGAATCAAGATGAATTTAATTAACACTTAAACACTTTTCCTCACTACTTCTATAGGAAGGGTATAAAGACAACAATTGAGAATTTAAATTTTGATATCAGGGCTTAAGAGGTTAAAGAACTCACCCTAAAGAGAGGCCTTGGTTCCTTCAAGGCATCTGATGGCATATCCATTGTGCCCCATTTGTAGGCTAGCTCAGCGCTTTTTCGTTTCCAGGCCTCTAAGAATAGAGTGGCCCACACGATGTTGAAGATATTAAAAAAGAAGATGCACCAGTCGCGCGTTGCCTCGCCTCTGTTGGACAAGAAGAACGTAATGATACCGAGGATTGCTGGAGCAACCAGCCATTTTGTGTACATTCCCAGCCAGGCAAAATACATGGCGATTTTTACACCAAAATATTGGCATATTTCGTCTGAAAATAAAAATAAATTTGCTTCGTTTGACATATAAATGTATCAATTTATCGTTATTATTATTATCAATATCATTATAATTAGACGTCTATTTATCTTGCATAACCTATTAAGGAAACTAAAACAGCATTTTTTTAAGTCTCTGACTCCGAAGCTGTGTATCATGAGCATTAACTTCACTTCCGGCTGCGTTTTATTGACAAATTTCGATCATTTGAGCACCTTAAGTGGTCTTTATGAACACAAATCTCTTAAAATCACCTAGTGGTTGCTTCTTGAAAAACGCCGACACCCAGTTCTTCCTCAATTTGGCTAGGTCATCGTGGTTATGAAGAGGAAACATTTTTTCCACCACACCTTCAGATAACAGTTTGGGCACTGAAAATTCAAATAACGAAATCACTCTTCAGACGTTTATTTTATCATCATCATCATCATCACCATCATTATCATCAATATCACATCATCATCATTATCGTTATCATTTTCATTATCATTATTATCCAGTTCGTGATTAAACAATTTTACTAATTAGGACATTAGGACATTAGTCCTCACATTTTCAACTCGAATTTTTGTTGATCTTAATACAGTTTATATAGTTAGTCAAAATATAGATGATAGACTTATTTATGGCTCCAGTCCAGTTAAGTTGTTTGTGATTTCCAGAGGACTTTTTCCAAAATGCACGGTAGACTTGATCTTACTCGATTCCCTCCTGGCTCTAATTGCTCAAACGCTGAATAACACCATATCCAACAATTAAATCACTCACTTGCGAATAAGTATTAGGCAAACCAAGTTGGGCTATCCACTGGATAGCGTTATCCACCTTTTGAAAAACTCGGAAGCCTCCTGGTGTCACAATTTTGCTCAAAAACTACTACATGAAAAAAGTGTATGTTCATATTTCGCAGCAACTGTCCACGATTGTCTTCTTACCAATCTGCTGTCCCTCCACAAATTTGATCTTGCCCAACTCATCTCCCTGGACCGCCCTTAGATCATTCACCATCTCAAGAATCATGCTCTGTCTTTCACCCGACGTGAAGAATGCTGTGGGATCGTCACTACCTTCATATGTCATCCTTTCTTCGTATTTAAACTCTGTTATTCCTCCAGTGCGAAGTTTCTTCTTCAACCCCAATTTCTCCGCTTGTTGCAAAAACACCTGAAATAAACAGGTTCCAGCTTAAGCCTAAGTTCAAAACTACTTCATTCGTAATTCATGTCGGTATTCCTCAAATGCTGTCGTCGTTTGTTGTTCAAGATTTGAAAGTACTGAATAAACCCCTTCACTGGAGGGGTGACCTTTCAAAAGAAAGCTCCAACAGTGCTTTTGGGCACTCCCTGGGGTGACGGTATCAAACGGAATGGAGTACAGTCGACTCCATACCTCAGTAAAATGGACACCTCCCTCAATGGTCCCTGCCTTTCTTTACTCCCTTTATTAACTCTCTATAGGTCGGACATCTCTCTAAGACGGACACTTAGTGCCGGTCCTAGGTATCCGTTTTAAAGGGAGTTGATTGTAATGCCCAGGGAAGGAGGGGGGAGGGGGTACTCCAGATTTCAAGTGACAGGAATGAACGAATAGGGGCAAAAACCCAGAAAATCCCTAGAGCTTCAAACAAAACCCCAAAAAATCCCATGCCGAATTTCCGAACCATAAAAATTTACAGAGGAACTATGCGGCCGGGATACGCATGGAGTTTGAGCCCAGTCGCGGAGACGCTTCTGGCCTTCTTTCGTTTCGTTTGTTTCTCTCCTCTTTCTTGTCAATTATGCTCCGGTTACCATTAGTTTTTGTTTGATCCTACGTATGGGGCAGCCTAACTCTAGGCTCATGTAGGTATCGTGCATGTTGAGCTTTGAAACTCAGGTACTAGAAAATAAATGTATCGCAAAACCTCGAAAAGCTCGGTGGAGAGAAATAGAATTACGAAGGTTAGTTAGATTTTAGGAAGCCAACACCCATTTTAGCTTTAGTTTCTATTGGATGTGAATTTCATCTTACTTATGTATAAGGGGTCAATAAATGTGTTGTTGTTGTAATTGTGTAACTGGGGGGGAGGGGTGGGGGGGTTTAAACATCGGCTCTTATGTATGTTACCTCAAAGGATGAAGTGAGATAGAAGGGCATCTGACCACTTACGCGGTAAACAGCGTGTACCTGCAGATGTAGGCCCTGTGCTCGAGCTTCGGAGCTGTCGTTGGTGTAATGCCACATCAGAAGCCAAGGGAAACCTTTACAATACTCTTGCAGTGTGGTTTTGGAAGGAGTGGAGTGTTCCCAAAGTTTTGAGGACAAGACGAACTTTCCAGCTTTTTGGAAGGCCCCTACGGACGAGAGTTAACAAATTCAATTATACAGTTTCACTGGGTACAGTTACGGTTTGCAGTTACGTACAGCGCTTTGTCTTCTGTAAATCCCTTTTCTTGCAAAATATTGAAGATGGATACACTAAGTTTTTTTTTGTCTTTTTAGACACTTTCACTGGCCAGCCTGTTGACAATGAAAAACCAGGTTTCAACATTTTCTTATTATGTTTCAGAATACGCAAACGGTTTGGGTTTATCCGTTTTGGTGACACTTTTAAGCTTCGACGAAATTTAAACCTGATTTGCAATCAAGTAAACAACTGCAACAATAACAAAAAAAGCGATCTGTCTTAGCCGCAGGTTAACCATGAGTGGATAAAAAAACCACTGTTGCTTTGTTATCCTTACCTTCTTCGCCTTTATCACCACTGAATACATCTTTCGCGGCATTTTTTGCTAGAAGAAAAGCAAGAATTCTCGTCAGTGACTGTTTTACCCACCATCTACTCAAAAATGTTTCATTTTTCTCCGAACGTGTATCCTGTAAACTGAATCTCAAGCAGTCACCTGTTTAAATCTATACTTGGCTGTTGGGGCAAATTTTTTCCTTTTGTTTTCGTTTTCTTACACTTACTTGTTATCGTGTATTCTTTTTCTTTTCGCTCCCCTTTATTTTGTTAATTACGCTCCTTCGTTACGTCCCGTATGTAAATTCGGTTACAGTTTGTTATACTACTGGAGAAATTTCTGCAATTTGATTGGCTTAGAGCAGTGATATTTCAGCTTAATTTGAAATACCTACATGTGAAAATTACAAACCTTCGGCGGGTAGTGGTATAAACAAATAATAGCAGGATTTGTACATGATAAAGTACCACTCGTGATATTTCAAAATTGCCTCAAATTTAACTCGCCTAACGGCTCGTGAAATTACGTATAACAATTTTGAAATATCACTCGTGGTATTTATGCCAAATATCACTACAAATCATGCTATCTCGCACCTTTTTTACCAGAGTTTTTACGTGTCTATCAGTGTAACAGCACTCGTGGCAGTAGATTTTTTTTCTCAGTTTTCCTAACCACCAACCCTTCTTATCCTCAGCATTTGGTAAGCGGCTTTGTTTCCATCGTTTTCTTTAATTTCATTTTGCAGTCGCCTTTAGGTAGTTTTTCTATATTGTAACTATTATTTTTTCGCTCTTTGTGGGAATTTATTTTTTTGGTAAGTTAATAGTAAAAAATTTGCTGAGACATCGTGATCGTGTCGTGTTTCCTCGAATTGGCCCTTGCCTGTTCATTGGAGATGTTTGTTTGAATGCATCTGAGCAAAATACTGAAACAGACGAGTCTTTCGATGTATCTCATGGAATGCAAAATATTACTTGGTGCACACACGACCTTTTTTTTCCTTTGTTGACCACGCCTTTGTTACTCGTTAAGTGCTTTTAGTGTGTTTTCTTTCCGAGTTAAGGTACTATTTTATTTGCAATTGGATATTCTCCATTTGGGCGTTAGATTAAGTTGAGTTCAATAGACTTCAGTTGACAGACACGCATTCCGAGACATAATCAGAATCTGATATAGACGCTACGTGCTAGCAAATCAATTAATATGCAATCCCTGTCTTAAATTTCTGCATAATTCAGATCAATGCTTTCAAATGGACGCTTTATGTAAAGCCAAAATGTCTTTTTTTTTTAAATTGCCGAGGAACCGTGAAAATTAGTTGACTTGTTCAATAGAGTGGTTTCGAAAGAGTAAAAGTTCCTCCTGTAAAAGAGCACAATTAACTCGTATAAAAACAAGTCAAATGATTCAGGTAATCATTCTGGTTTTCGAGATGGTATTTGCGATGAAAAATTATAATGCAAAGGAAAATGTCTTCACTTTATCGTTGTTGTCCAATTTAAACACGTAATATCGAACCTGCCTTTTTTTCTCAAACGAAAAGCGCCTTTCAAGATTATATTTCTAAACTTGAACTACCTGGAGCGACTTCCCATCTTTGCAGCACTGAGTATGGGGACTTTCTATAGGTGAATTACGTCTTTCTTTAGGATTGAGGGTACAATTTACCAGTATTAGAATAAAGTTACCTTCTTTTCCACTTGTTCTGCGGTCTGGTATAGGCATTTTAGCGAGTTTTTAAGTACGAAACGCTGGTCCGCGTCTCGCAACCTCGCAATTTTTACCTCGAAAACTTGACTGGACATCAGTCCCCAATTTACTTGTTTTATTTACATCTCAAAAATGACGCGTCACATTGCGCGCTGTGATTGGCGAAGGACCTGTCCATCGTTGGCCAAGTGGTTGTATTTAGCAGGTTTCCTAACCAAACTAACGGGTGGCTGTTTGTATACAAAAAACATTTGCTGACCGATAATCGTTTTGAGCACAACGAAAATAACTTCAGAATTTCACATTTTTAGCAAATAAGAAATTCATGAGATACGATGGGACAAGGAAAAAAATGTGATAAAATTTCTCAGATGCTTTAAGGGTTGACATCTTCATTGATAGATATATTAAATAAATCTTGGTTTAAGGCCAGACGCAAGCAAAAAAAAGCAACAGATGCTGCCTTACTTGAAAACTTCCTTTTTGGGCGATTAATAAATAATATTCCTACTTAATTTTACTTTTCACTTTAAGAAAAAAAGCCTAAGTCTGTATAAAGTGCACAGTCATCGAAAGAGGCTAACATTTTTAGAATTCCTTTTAACACTTAAAATAGAAAAAAAAAATGATAATTTCTGGCTCCCGCTGGCATGCAGGGTATCTAAAAAAAACTGGTCTTATACCATTGCATAAGTTCCCCCAAACTGTATGATATACCAAGTTTTTAGGATTTACTGCACCGCAATCACCTGAGATAAGTTTAAACCGCAATTGTAGCATAGTTAGAGCCATGCTTTGCCACCCGTTAATATCAGTATGAATCTAAGGTTTCATATTATATATTCAACGGACTTTTTTAAAATTTACTGCACCGCAATCACCTGAGATAAGTTTAAACCGCAATTGTAGCATAGTTAGAGCCATGCTTTGCCACCCGTTAATATCAGTATGAATCTAAGGTTTCATATTATATATTCAACGGACTTTTTTAATCTGCAAAACACCAGAAAATTTTCGGCGTGAAGTCAAATTTTCTTTTTTTTTTCTAGAATCTTTCAATAATTTATAATTCTCTTAATACAAAGGGTTCAGTCAGACTGAGAGAAACTGATGCTCCTCTTCGTAAAAATACCTTAATCTCTTTTCCTTACCCGCATTATATCCATATTGTTTCATTTAAGCGTAATTAAGTTTCACAGCAGTAATCTTAGTTTCCGTGCTGTTTTCTTTCCATATTTAGTTAAAGAAAAAGGGAAAAAAAACAATTGTTATATACAGTAACACAAACAAGCCGCATACTTTGGCAGACATTTTAGATAACAACTCAAGTTTTTAACAGGTTCTTCTTACTCAGGACTTCTCCTTTTTAAACTGCTGCTAAAGTCCTGGGAACAAGGATAACATAATGTAATTCGTGGTAATTCAGACATTCTTAAGCTCAACTCTATCGAAATCATACCAATGCCTAGTGATTACTTCTCAGTGATTTGCACCAAAATTGAAAATACTTTCACGGTGAGGTAATACAGGTAACAAATACCATTTAGTGTTTTAGTGCGAACACAAATCTCAGTTAATTCGACAGCCTTCCTAAATTATTTCCTGAAGTTAAAAAAACCCTGCGCTATCCGTGGGTCTGTGAAGATTATTGAAGAACGTTCGAACGCGACACATTCTGTTGAATTTCGAAGATACGCCATGGAGGCCCTAATACGTATGCTTCTTGTCTGAATTTCAAATCCTGTAGTTTTGCGTACTGAGCGGGAGCAAGCTGTATCGCTGTCGGTATTTTACTATTGTATTTGCGCTTTTCTCTGTCTCTGTTACGCTTCAACCCATCTTCGTGTCGTTTGTTGCCATTTCTGCTGTGATATGTCGCTCTTTCAAGGCCATGTGGCTTGTCGGAATTTTACCCTAACAGCCTCTCCATGTAATTAATTATATTTTGCCTCAAAAAAAGTAATGAATAATGATTTGGTTACAGAAGCTGTGGTGCGCAAAGAAAAATCATCTTTTGACCATCTTTGATATCGTGTTCATTAAGGAGATTTCAAACATTCACTGGGAACTTCAAAGAATTCCTTCTTGTTTCACTCTACCAGAGCGAATAGGAAAAAATAATGTGGTCACTGTAATCTACATATTGAAATGTAAATCTCACGGTCACAGATGCTCGTGATAAGCGTCTGTAAACATTACGCAAATTATCGGCCACTTTGATTTAAAGCTAAAGCGCGTAAGCTTAACATCTGATTCCTTAATCTTGTAGTAACAACTATCGCCGAGCGGGCAAATCGCGAAACAAGTCGACTGTACTTACCCCAAGTCCAAACGTTCTTACGCTGAGTCCATGCGTTCTTAACGTTGTACATTTACCCAGAACATTAAAAATAATGTATTTCGATTTCGGTCGATGAACGGGTCATCGTCGAAGAAAAGAGATGAAAACAGCTCTGAAGCTGTTTTCTTGCTGTCAAACTGAAAGCAAATAGGGCCATGCACTTATTTGAATTATGCAATTTCATCAGTCTCTAAGCAACACTTCCCATACAAAAACATGTTTCAAAATTGACTTTTTTTGTGCCTTTGTTCGGCTTAGTTTTTTGAATGTTAAAGTCTACCTACTTATAAAAATTATGTATTTTTTGTGTATGTGTGTTAGACGCTTTTCTATTCACGTTTTACCATAATTAAAAAGAGGCTTTCTTTGTTATGAAAATCCTAACTATGTTGTTGATGTAACACGCTGTTTGTAATGACACGAGTCATTTACCACATGAAGAGTCATGCATCAACAAATGGTGGATATGTTGAATTATCTGAGCCAACTTCACGGCTGTTATTCTTCTATTACAATACAGGAGAAACGAAAATTAGTGGGATTTTTTTCTTACTGGCCTGCCAAACGCAGTTACATGAAGAATTTTGACCCCTTTCAGATCTGGGCAAGTCGGCGTTGTCGGGTCCTACATGACCAACGATATGACTATTCTTTTTAGGCTTCAGGTCACACATAGCCCCCACCGCCCGCCCCAAAAAAAGCAAAAAAAGAGAAAAAAAAATAGAGAAGGAAAAAACGCCTCGGTATGGAGCAAAGAGATAATGGGAAAGGGAGGGGACAGACGGGCAGTTTTTGCAAGCCAATAATTGAATTGAAAAGGTACCGATAGTGCGATTATAGATATTGAGAAAGTTTCGATTCGTCGTCCAGTAAGATAAGAAGAGAGACATCCCTTCCTCTTTACAGTAAGTCATTCCAAGCACCAACATGTTCCTTACCTCCCAGCCCCTCCCCTACTAGTGCTTAGATGGTTAGTCCGTGTTAAGACTGGACAGAGCAATGCCTGGCGATATTTGCAGCTCAGCCATAATGGAAAGTCTCGCTCGCGGAAAGAAAACGGGAAATCTCCTTCTGTTACCCTTGTTTTTCTCTTTCTTTGCTTCTGCGGTGAATTTTTCACCTCCTAAATACTCTGCTTGCCACAGCAAACATTTCGGCTATGATGGAACCGTGTGTGTCTGCTCGGACGAGCTAGAGTGTGACTCTTTTAGCGAAGGTAGTCCCTTGTCTCATGGGGAATATGCTGTTTATACAAGCTCAAAAGCAGGTGATCGCTTCAGTTTAAGGACTGGGAAGATACAAAGTGACTCCGAAGGAAGTCCACCTCGTGCTGAAGAAGCTGAACTTACTTTTACAGTGAACCAAAGCGAGATTTTTCAGACAATTCTCGGGTTCGGTGGTGCATTTACAGGTACAGAAAATAATCTCATAAACCTTTAAGCTGCATTATGTGTAAGGTTGAAGACCTACGAACCTGCACGTGTATGGTTGGGAAAGATGTCTCTGCAAAAGAATCGATAGTTGAGCCAGTCAGTTCAATTCAATTTTCGAGTCACAGGCCAAACTTCTAAACAAAACGCATTCAGTAAACATAAAAGTAGCTTATAAGATAAAACAAACATAGCTATTTTGTTTACTGAACGTGTGGATAGACAATGCATTTTGTCACTGTTATTCTTTAATTTCAGATGCTGCTGGAATCAACATTTTTAACATCAGCTCCACTTTGCAAGAGAAACTCATTTCATCATATTTTTCGGAAGATGGCATTGAGTACTCCATCGGACGCATCCCTATGGCTAGCTGTGATTTTTCCACATACCCTTACTCATATGACGACCATGAAGGAGATTTTGAAATGCAGAATTTTAGCCTGGCTAAAGAGGATTTCAGTTTGAAACTTCCTGTAATGATATCCGCGATAAAGATGAGCAAACGGAATATTAGGTTCTTTGGTAGCCCTTGGGCAGCTCCAGCCTGGATGAAGACCAATGAAAAAATGCAAGGGCCTGGTGAATTAAAAGGAGTCGCTGGTGACAAGTATCATAAAGCTTGGGCTTTATATTTTGTCAAGTTCATCAAGGCTTATGAGAAGAATGGTGTGAAGATTTGGGGGCTTACAGTAGAGAATGAACCATCAACTGGCTTTATTCCAGGGTAATGATT